GTACAGCTCTCAACATGCCCAGACTTGGAGTGATTTTCACCTCTTTTAATACTTTCCGCCTCATTCTGAAAGACAGAAGTGAAATGTGCCAACGTGACGGCCGTCTTGGTGTGTGGTGCGAGACGGGAGATGTAGTTCATTGAGCGGCTTCACACAAAATAAAAGTGTTACTTCACAGTTTTACGACACAATAAAAAAAATATTGACTTGCAAAATTATCTTTTAAATTGACAAACATCATGTGTGTAATTCATGGCACAATTCAAACGGGATCGAAACATAATATTTCTCTCTCCATTGACTTCAATACATACTTTTTCCGAAATAAGGTCCCATGGAGCCCCCCCGGAAAGGGAGGGACATCGCCTCTCTATAGAGTGCCTCTAATCATAAATCTATCGATATCGAAAATTATAAAAGTAGGGTAGACATGTGGATATTATCCGGCTGAACAAAACGTGATCTGTCTCTTCCATGTGTGTCAACCACAGACCTTATTTCGAGCTATTTTCCAAAATCCAATGGAGAAATTGCATTGATTTTTGTCGAAGGAACCGGAAGTGGTAAAATGCTGACTTACTTCCGGGTTTTAGGACGCGTCACTGTGGCACTCTGATGGATAATCTAAGGATTAAACACTTTTTTTAGTCATTCAACATGTAAGTAAGTTAAACATCTAAGTCATAATAGTGTGCCTGTTTGCTTAAATGTTTGTTGGGAAACTGTATTGCAAACAAGTGCTTTTCCACAGACAGTTTCCTTCCTTTGCTGTCACTATGGCATCTACAATAAGTGCACGAATGGTTTAAAGTGATGTTTTTGAATTGGCTAAGCCTACAAAATAGTTTTAAACTGCAAATCTCTATACTTAAACTGTCAAGACTGAAGGCTGGGAAAACGAAACCACTAATGCAGATGCTAAGTGCTTTTATGCGCTACAAAGCATATCTTTTGATGCACTTTGCTGACAAAATATCAAACTTGAAGAAAAAGATGAGGAATATCCTTTGCATCACAGTAAACTTTGAGACCGCGTTTATGAAGCCATAATACTCTCGACTCTCTCTGGAAATTGAGAGCAAAGTGAAGGGAGATCAAATATAAACCTATTTGTAAAAAAGTTTTAGCTGAGGTGAAACCATATCATTCACAGAGGCGGGAAAAAGCTGCTGTGGTGTTCTGATCACAGCAGCAAGGCCGCTAGAGAAGCTCTTTTTCCAAACACACTGGTCATTACTCTGTGGTAATTTAGAAGTAAATGAGACGGAGTGGACACATTTTAATACCTCATAAACACTGACGACATGAGCCAGAAACAACCCAGCCTGATAAATGCTGAGCAGAGAGGTATTTAGTGCCATGTCATGCAGAAAGCATTAAAGGAGGCATGCGAACCAACACAAAGATGAAGCTCCTGTTATAACAATTAGATACATTTCCCAAAAGCTGGGCACATTTCCTTTATGAGAAAGTGTCAGTTTCACTCAGTGGTCAAAGAAAGTGTGGATGATGCCATCACAGGGCACCAATGGGCCTAATTCCCCCTGTGTACATGGCCTACTTACTGGATAGGACGTGTGCAGCCCCTCAGGGTGCAGATTGTTCAGAGAGGCATACTGAGTCATGGGACCCATGATGCACATTTCCCCTCTGCTCCAGCTTCCAATCACCCCTCCATCCCCCACCCTGTCCCCATGCAGCCGCCCCCACCCTCCCCTGGGCAGAAGGGCTTTTTCAGCCCCTCTTCAATCTGAGGTCGAGCAGCCGCTCTCCATGTGATCCGCTCTCCAGCTTTGGCGTACAAAAAAAACAAGAGCTGTGCGTGTGGGTGCTGCTGGAATACTGTTCAACTTATATAAGGAAAAGTACATTGCTTTCTCGTGGAGCGTTACCCAACAAAAAGCCTCAGTGTGTTTTTAGCTGAGTGCTGTGGGACTGCCTGTGTGATGGAAGTTGGATTTGGCTAAAAGATAGCTCAGTTCCTGTTTCCATTCGTCTCAATTCTAACTTATAAGCACGCAGTCATTGCAAATGTGCAATTTAGAGTGTATCTTCAAAGCTTCATGTACCATGATTTGTGCACAAGCTCTTTATACCATGATATATTGATCTCTAATGGCGAGGCTGCATCAGAGATCAATTAAAATAAGCGTCTGAGGTAGGGCTGAACGATATATCGTGTCATGGCGATAACCGCGATATGCGCATGCGCGATATTCACATCGCGGGGACGTGCGATTTTATTAATTTTTTTTCTTTTTTTTTTTTTTAGGACGTGCGATATTAAGTAGGCACATTAACTCAAACACGTCATGTTACAATTATTTTGCTGCTTGCTACAAAAGGAAAACTTGCACGGCTCTCATGTCAGGGGTACTTGAGTGAGTGACATGCAGGCTCTGCATGCACAGCAAACCACCAATCACAATCATTCTTGATCAGATCACAGCAGGCCCCGCCCCGCTAGTTCTGGGAGTGTAGGCAGTTTCCTTTTTGAAGGTCTCTTTTGGGGGAGTGATGTCAAATTTCCCTTTTTACCCTCTTTGGAGTCCCTCCTCCCGTTGTCTCCTCCAGGGAGAGGGTCCTGCCTGTCTGCACGTTATCTAACGGCACACATTTAGCCTTTTCTTTATGTAAATGTTGTAGATCCCATCTGGTTTACCAAAACCTTTTACTACACCAGAATTATTATTCTGACCTAGGTGCTCTATAGATCCGTTAGAACACCCTCGGTAGTCCGTTCATCATACTACTCAGTCCGTCCTGCGCTCCCTGCGTCCAAGTCGTCTTGCTTATCTTCCTCAATTGGTGAGTACATATTACCTTGATTGTATGGGAATACTGTAGGTACCCTTTTTTTCCGGTTGTTTTTCGGTACCGTACTACTATAAAAAGTAAAAGTAAAAGTTTAATTACGTGTAATTACTTGTGAAAATTTGTCTTATTACGCAGTTCACATTTCATAGGGTTTAACCTTCAAAACTCGCTTAAAGGGGTAGGCATCAGGGAGTGTACTGGTAAATACATGTATCTTTTTTATTTATGTACTGTACGTTCTTTCTGTTCTCCGTTCGTATGGGTGCTTCCAAAAATAAATGGTGTACCGTCAAGCTTAACCTACGTCGATGCTTATATTTCAAGTCTCCTCTATGTTCTCGATGTATTGTCACGTTCTCCTCTATGGGGACCACAATTTTCACGTAAATCGCCACCACCTAACGTGCACGCGCGCACAACATAACAGACGTTCTCGGCAGAAGACGTCAACATGAACACTTCGATACCTCTCACCCATGTTGCGGCCATAGGTCCAACCTCCGATAGGTCTTTCTCCGACGAAGTCGTCAGAGGAGCCAAAAGACTGGATTCACGTCGTAGGTCCACACAAAAATACAAGACATAAATCACATTTCCTGGTTGTTAGTGACCTGAATCCATTGTGCCACCAAACATGTTGAAGAATTTTCAACGAACTGCGTTCCAATTACTCGGGGTTTTTCGATTCAGGGTAACAATTTTTAGCATTGCTTTAATTACTCGCCTGCGCGTCACAGACATAGGACTACACTCCCCACCTTCTATCTAAATGAAAGGGGCGACGCTCCGCAACACGGTGTATAACCGGAAACAGAGGGGTGTTCTGTTGAGACTACTCTCCGTCGTTCAGACAGTCCCGGTGAGACAAGTCTAAATATACGTAAACCAAATCACAAGGACCAACCGACGTCTGTCTCTGTATTAACATAGAAACGTTCCCGTTCTGTTTTTCGGACCTAATCTGCGTACTGTGACTCGACTCTCCAAAATGTGGTATTACGACAGCTCCTCTCTGCGATTATGTAACCTTAAAGTACGGTACGAATTATCACAAAGTGCCTCACTCTCCGTTGTGCTCGTACGGTGTTGTAAAAGTCATTTTTCCGCACGCTCCTTCTCCGACGCCCTACCTTTCTGTCTGGCTCCCGAAAGAACTGTTAATTCGAAGTGTACATCCTTTGGAGCGAGCTGTATGCGTCCTTGCACTACTGAATACTTTCGTGCACCTTTGCCAGTGTCGTCTGGTCTCTTCTCTTATACGGCACACACATGCCGTCGGTACCCAAAAGATAAATTAGCCCAATACAAACTGTGTCCCTTGGTTACGGTGTAATTACTTGTGAAACTTTGTTTAATTACGCCAGTCATCACATTTCATAACGATCTAAAAAATCGAAACCTCGAGTACACCGCCGTAGGCACCAGGGAGTGGTACTGTAAATATATGTAATCTTTTTGACTTAGTGGAATATACGTCTTTCTCGTTCTCTCGTCGTATCTGTGTTCCATAAGATGCGTGTAACCGTCCATGCCTGATATCGTCGACTGCTTTAATTTCACGTTCTATTCTAAGTTCTCCGATGCGATTTCCCGTTCTCCTCTATAGGGACCACAATTCCCGTCAAAATCGACCACTAATGTGCAGACACAAACAAAGAAGTTGGATAAGAGACTCAAACTCAGAACTCAAGATACTCTCACCACTGTTACGGGCAATAGAGGTCAACCATTCCGACAGGTGTTACATCAACGAGAATTACCTACTCCTGTAAAGAGTTTTCACCAGGCAGCGGCCCACCTAGAAGTAGTCAAGAGGAGACCAAGACCTTGATCACGTCGACAGGTCAACAACTAGTAAACTCACTCCCATTAACTGATATAGTACAGTGAAACAATCTGCGAAATAGGTTCCTACGATGTATGAGTCTATGACCACCAGTTAGGGGTGTCCCTCGTTAAACCACCCACCTTCACAGATCCCTGGTGTTGCTGTACGACTGACGCGTCACCCCAAACTTGGACACCTATCCCCAACCGTTTCCCAAGCTTTCAAAGGTACCCTTACACATTGACCCCTTACAAACCTTTATAACGCGCTACGCTACTTTAATAAATTTGTTTTTTTTGTCCCACCTTAAAACGACCATTATTTTTTACAAAAATTAATCCTTGTCTTTGTTCAAATTAATAAATAACTTGTTCAATAAGCAAAGTAACCACCGGCGACGGCCCGCGCCGACAAACCAAAACAAAAAAAAAAAAAAAACACGGTAGGTCCCCTTGAGCCCTTGCATTTCTGTCCTTACAACTTTCAATTTGCAATGCACGTGGGGGGGGGTTGGGTGAGTATTTTTCTACTTGTTTTTACGCCTGGGGGGTAGGTTTTTAGGGGTCGTTCTCAAGGGCTAATTTGTACAATTTACCTTTCTCCGGGAAGAGCCGGTTTTCAGGGGTAATTGTACCGTTAGAATGAAGTTCGGTTAGGACACGTAAAAAACGATTTGGGAAGAGTCAGCTTAACCCGAGACGGACCCGGAGTCATCTGTAGGTTGAGACTCCGAAAGGAGAGTCACAGTGAACAGGTCGGAAGCAACTCCTACCCCCTGAGCATTATCGACACAGTCCGAGTCTCTCGGAATCCAAACGGCTTTACGTTTGGTCAAAAGGTGAGAGTGTAAAACACTCGGACAACGGTTTGGAAACAACACCAGAGTTATCGGTTACGTCAATTCGTCACACGACTACCCGCTACCTATAAGTTCACGATGAACTTCAGTAGACAAACAAAATCAGTTTCTAATACGATTTTATATGAAGGGGTTGCATACTAGAATTTAAGGGATACTTCTTGGTTGGAAGTTAAATCATTTAAGGCAAAATAAGGGCCACCTCTCCAAGGTAGAAACCTTTTAAGGGAATTAAAAGGCTTGGGATGGACACTGGGGGACTAGGCGTTGTGGGTTGCGGTGTTGGGGCTCGACGTGTTGTGCGGAGGCCTTAAGGGGATTCACTCCCCCCAACGTCAGGTACAATTCCCGTAAATATTTTATTTCGTGCTATGAGGAATGTTCTTGAATTTTACCAGTTTTGAGTTCTTTTAACGAACAAAAATAAAGCGTTCTTCTAACCAGGCTCACCACCCATACTCTATTCGAACTATCGAAGAGAACGTGGTCGACAAGATACCCAAAGTCGCAACACCGTGTTCGTTTGCGTCGTCAACATTTTTGTCATAAGTTTACACCCTATCTTAGATGTCACCTCCATACCTCGAAACGTCGTAACCCGGCAATTCTTCCCAGACTAATGGTCGCGGTGCGTGTCTTTCCCTGTGCAGTAGAACCAACCAGTCACAAGAATAAGAACGTACTAAAGTCATTTTACGCCGAGTAATAATTAATAGATTTGTGCTTGTTGTCACATCTCTCTCACAAAGCGAGAAGAGGTGACGTTTTTCACTCCGTCCCTTCGGGTTCACTCTCCCTGTCTACCAGGGTGGAACCGTTGTCGGTTTGTAAAACGTCTAGTCCTAAGTCCTTTGTCGTGTATAGTCGTTAGCGACCGAACATCTCTTTCCACCGGTGGTCGGTACCTGTACTCGTCAAACAAAACTTTGTCGTCCGGGAACCTCTCAGAATATCATATGCTTTCGCTCATTGTACTACAGTCGACTCTTTTCTAATCGTTTCCTATGTCTCTCTCCATCGTCTCGGAGTCTTCTACGTACGCGAATTTTGACTTAAGTTAGAGTAATGACACTTTCCCCCTACCGACGGAGAGGTGAGGTGGTGGATGCGAATTGCGTAGAATATGAAAAAGGAAGAATAGGAGGCAAAAGGATTAGCGTAAACAGAGGAGGGTATAGACTCCTAACGTCAGAAGGATTGATTGACGAATGTGTCGTAAACTTACGTTCAAATGAATGTCACCTCAATACAACGAGTGACGCCCCGTAATTGGCACAATATTCCTACGGTACCGGGCTACTTGAACGCCCACCCTCTTAAATAATTCCACTTACGTGTAAACCTAACTCTCGTGCATAATCTGGTCCGGACGTGGATCGAGGGTTGTACAAAAGAAACGTCGATAGGTAGTTCAAACACAACAGTGATGCTACACCTTTACACGACAAAACAAAAGTTGAACTACACAAGTGTTACCGATATAATTAGTTCTACATAACACAATGAATTGTGGGTTAGGGAATTGTACAAAACAAATGACGCAGTTGTGCTGACCTTTCACCGTTTAGACCTCCATCACCTCCTGACAACTGGAATTTAGTCCGAGAAGAAGAACTTTTTTTTTCGGTATTAGTGGTAGTAGAATGTTGACTGTGAGACATTGTGAGGGTGAGCGGGGGTGATACTTTATGAACGTTCTAAATGTTTTTTGCTGTTCGAATGTATAAGTTCATAACTACCACTCACTAGATCGACTAGACATCAGAAGAGTTGATTTAACCTATTCAATACATAGTTTTAGGGGTGTCTCGAGTCCTGGGTTTGGTCACGCCGTGTAACTGGATCCCGACGTTCTATAACATTTTTCTAGATACTATAACGCTATAAGAAAGGGCGCTATATAATAACGCAAAATACTAATATATCCAATTGGCCTACTTCCTAAAATCAGTGCCTGCCAGACCCTGAAATTGACCAACGTTGAGTAGTATGGAATTCAGTACTAGCTGTAGCAATACTTATTACGTGAGGCAACGAATCGGGAGGTTATTCCCGCCAAAGTAGACGCACTTCTTTATCTTCTTGGAAAAACATAGGGTTTATCAGGTTCTACCGTCTAACAACGAAAGAAAAGACTTCATTTAGAAGTAAGAGACGCCATAACAGGAGGACACGGGAGCGAGTCAAATGGCCAAAAC